CCTTATCAGTTCTTCGCCGCCGTGTTTGAATAGCTCGGCCGACAATCCATCGGCCCCCGCCGCTTTGTTGTTCTTCAGGCGGGTAATTGCTATTCGAACTTCTTCCTGGTCGGGCAATGGATCGTCTGCTCCATTTTCATCGATTGGGGAATCGAGTTCGAATTCTCCTGGCGTTGTGCGTTCACTGCTATTCAGCAGGCTGGAGAAGTGTTCCCTCCACAATTTAAGTATGCTCTGGGCATCGGTGACTACATCACCCTTGGGCGTTCTACAAGATTATACTCCGGTCTTAAAACCTTCTTTAAGCCGCCACATTTTTTCGTAGAATTTTCGAGCATTACCCCTATCGGCCAGCTCATTAAGCTCTTCGTACTCACGCATTTCGGCCTCTTTCTTTTCCTGTCTGTAAATGCGTCTCGCTTCCCTCTTCAACTCTCGATATCTATCCCATCCCGCATGTGTTGTGGTCGACCGTAACCTTGCGAGGTATGCAGTCTGTTTTCTCTCCTCTGCGACACGCCACTCCTCGTGGTACCAGCTGTTGTTTTGCATTTTGCGAAAACCAATGGTTTCAGTTGAAGCTGTAGTAGCAGGAGTGCAAGCCGGGTAGAAAATCGTTCGACTGTCAGTTGTGATTGCAGCTTCTCGACGTCGAACCATCCTTGTGTTTGATGGCGTGCGTTTTTTGCTGCACAGAGGCGGGTGCGAATCTTGGCTGCAACAAGGTAGTGGTCCGAGTCGATATTAGGACCTCGAAGTGCACGTACATCTAAAACACTGGAGACGTGTCTTCCGTCTATCACAACGTGATCGATCTGGTTGGTGGTTTTTCGATCCGCAGACAGCCAGGTAGCTTGCTGTATCTTCTTATGCTGGAATCTAGTACTACATATAACCATATTTCGGGCCCCGGCGAAGTCGATCAGCCTCAACCTGTTTGGGGATGTTTCCTCGTGAACCCTGCCGTTAAAGTCGCCAAGCACGATTTTGACATCGTGGCGGGGGCAGCTCTCATAAGTGCGGTCCAAACACTCATAAAAGGCATCTTTGGTCACATCGTCCTTCTCTTCTGTCTTGGCGTGGGCACAAATAAGCGATATGTTGAAGAACCTCGCTTTGGTGTGAATAGACGTTCATACACTGGACTGAATGATAGTACTCGGCGATGGAGTCTCTCTTCCACCACGAATCCCGGACCAAACTTGCGGTTTTTTAAATGGCCACTTTAGTAAATGCCCCAAGGATCTACTCATCTCTGTCGTTGTCCCTTCCATCGCATTTCTGGGACGGCGGTGATGTCAGCCTTTATTTTCACGAGAACATCAACCAGCTGGGCAGCAGCACCTTCCCAATTAAGGGACCGGACTTTCCAGGTGCATGCCCTGGAATCAATTCGTAGTCCTTATTGCGGTTGCCATGGTCTTTATCAAAAGGGGGGTAACTCATCCGAGGCTTGTTGTTCCTTTTCATTGGAATGATTTTTTACGTGGTGTGTCCCAAACCTAGCTCACAACCCTGCGGAGGGGGTTGTAGCTCGCCTTCAAAAGGATCTTCCCAATTAAGGGAGCGGACATTCCGTGTGCATTAGGGTGGGTCGATTCTGGATTTTTTTCGATTCGGGACTTCTAATAGTGCGGAAAATTTGCCTTAGTACTTCCTAATTAC